CCTAAAGCACTACTGCCTGTTCCTCAAGTGCTCTTTTGAGCATGGCGATGGGGAAGTACCTTTCAAGAACTTGGAAATTAGCAACCTAAGATTGTCATCCTGGATGCCATCTCTGAACGTCATAGTGGAAAATAGACCCCAAAGTGAAGAGGTTATTCCATTATGCTCTGCAGAATTCGATGTCTTGGAAGAGTAAAGAGTCAGCTGTAAACGCAGCTTGGTTTAGTCGTTCCTCCTCCTCTTTGGCCCCTCAGACCAGGCTCCTTGTTCACAGAGCTGCGGAGGGAAATGTATTGAAAGTGGTCTGGGCGGAGCTGCTGAATCCCTGCCTTTCTATAACTCACGAGAAGCTGCAGACAGTAAGCTAGCACAGGAACCTGTCTCTGTACTGGTTTTACTTCCGGCTTTGTACTTTTCCTACTCTGGGGAGTCATTTACCGGGTCCCTGGGGTTCCTGTTTGTTAGTCCTTGCTCTGTAGAAACTGTCTTGTCGGCTTTTTGAAGACCTTTCAAGCCTAAATGTGAAATTAAAAACCTTTTCTATTAATTTTTCTTATGATGTCCTGCCTTACCTGAGATCTGGGATGCATTTCCTATTCATGCACAAATAGGGATGGTCTAGGCCCACAAGCACTTCTCCTACATAATTTAGAATATTGAATTAGAATCATAATCAGTTTTGCCTTGTGTAAATAACAGAGGTCAATCTTGGAAATGACCTTTCAGGATGGTAGATTCCAAAGATTCAAAGCCTAAATAATTAACTTTCCTGACCACTCCACCCAAAAACTGTACATAATGTTGAGACGGATGGATGTAAGAGGTCTGGCTGGATAGAAAAGAACAAAAGATTTAACTCTTTCCCTCTGTTCTTAGTTTAGGCTCCATTTAAAATTGAATGGTCTCCTTAGGGAGTTATAGACATCTACAAGGAAGAGGGCAATTCAATTTGAGCATCAACCTGAAACTCTTTGTGGTTATTTCTATTATAAACTTATTTTTCCATGAAGTGAATTACAGTGCATGCACCCTTCTGTCTGTATGCAAGCGTGTGTGTGTGTGTCTGTCTGTCTGTCTGTCTGTCTGTCTGTCTGTATCTGTGAGTGTAAAAAAGAGATTCACTCTTGTACTTACAATGTTCCTAGGAGATGAAACATAGATGTATCAGAAGGCTTTGGATATCGGGAAAGTTTCTTGTAGAAAGTCTAGCCCTGAGACATTTCTTACTTTAAATTTCTAAAGAGAAAATGAAACACAACGTGCTGTTTTCTTGGTTGTAGGATAAAGTAAGAATGCACAATGATCTAAGTGCACAGGAGAAAACTTCCTTGAAAGAGATGAGAACTTCTTCGTTCACATTTACACATGGAAGATGAGAAACAGGGTAAGGGTGACTGAGGGAAAACAGAAAGGGAGAACAAGATTTGAAAAGGGATAATTGAAAAAGAGAAGTATAAACTGAATAAATAGGAGAATTGATAAAGGTAATGCATGGATATAAGTCACTATTATTACTTTAATAAATTAAAAATACATACTTTCTATGTAATTTCAAATCATATAAAGATGTTATAGTGATTTCCACAATAAAGATAAAGCTTTATCCATGTGTGATTAAAGATTATAATATTCATGAACTAATCTCAGCCCCCAATTTTAATAATTTTGATGAAGTGATTATGATTTTAAGTGCTCGTTATAGGTCATGAAGTATGCTGTGTGATTTGTTTGTGTTTCTCATGCAATCTTTATAATTCTCTTGGGCTCATTCTAATGTGATTGTCTTTGAAGTGCCGAAGTCAGGATTCAATCCAAATTCTCAGCTCATAACCATCACTCTATGTCATCACTGTGTCTTGGCACACTAGGAGAACTGGCATAGAATGCTTGGAATTTATGGGGTAGTTGGGGGTCAGGAATGGTGAGGGAGGTGGGGGTGGGAATAATACTGAGCTGCTTGGGTAGTTGTAGAGAAAATCAATTCAAGAATGTGTAAAAAAAATGAAGACAAAGCTATCTTTCAATTCAACTTCTTTGTTGTAGACTTTATCACTACTCCATGCCAATGTTAATTATATCATAATCATCTTCTCTAATTTTATACTTAAACAAATTGGTGTAATGTGGGTAAGAATACCACTCAGTCTTCTCTATATTTTTTAAAGGTTCTTTTCAATCTGAAGCTCTCCAGTGCTGTAGCCTGAATATCTGTCTACAGAACCTCAGAATTTATATGGTAAAATCCTCAACCCAGATATGGAGAGGGACCTTATATACTATTGCTGGGAGCATAGGTTGGTACAGCTACCATGAAAAACAATATGAAAAGTCCTTCAAAAACCAAAACAAAAAAAAAAAAAAGATAAGCCACAAAGAAGATTGATACCTATTCATCATCCATGAAAATGGATGGAACTGGAGGACAATGTTGTATAAAATAAGTCAGACTCAAAAAGGTAAATGTCTAAAACTTAAAATCATTTGAAACAGAAGAGATACTATTTCAAAAGAAGGAAGTAAGAGAGGCAGGGAAAGAAGATTATATTTGGGAGAGTATCTCTTGACATAGCAGTAATTTATGCAAAAGAAAACAGGTATATAAAAAGAGAGCCAGTGATTCTCAAACTAGATAACTAAGAAAATATAAAGCATAAAACAGTTTGACTCAGCCATGAACATCACTGTTTATATAATGATAAAGCATATATAAAATGACTGATTATTTAACTAACTAGTTATGAGAGCTGGAGAAAGAGAAGAGGGCACAGTCCTCAAGGACAGAAACAAGAATCAATAGATATTGCCTAATACATAAATCAAAAAAGAATATACTTATCATTTAGAAGACTGTATATAAGCAGCCATTTTATAGAAAGTTTTAATACTGCAGGGGTGAGAAAAGAGCTGAAGGATGAGGTGTGAAAGGAGGTAAAGAAAGGTTCTAGGGATTTCTGTTTTTAATTCTTTGATGTAAGCATGTTCAATTTTACTGAATAAGAATAGCTTTAAAAGTGTAGGACAGGCCGGGCGGTGGTGGCGCACGCCTTTAATCCCAGCACTCGGGAGGCAGAGCCAGGCGGATCTCTGTGAGTTCGAGGCCAGCCTGGGCTACCAAGTGAGTTCCAGGAAAGGCGCAAAGCTACACAGAGAAACCCTGTCTCGAAAAAAACCAAAAAAAAAAAAAAAAAAAAAAAAAGTGTAGGACAGACAATATTATATAAGTAGGAAAATGAGTATGATCATTATTTGGACATAATGTTAAGGCAAGTAAAATTGAAAATTAAGACTCGTGACTAAGGAAATAGCAAGCAAGCATTTTTTACACACAGAGATTGGAGCTCTATTAATCCATATCAAGGAAAGATGAAACGGACCTCAAGACATTATCAGTTCCACGGGTAGACAATGGATAATAGACGGCACCAGGCGTCTTTGTCTATTCTGGCTGGTATAACAAAATTTCATGAGCTAGTAGCTTTCTTAACCATACAAATTGACTTCTCACAATCCTCTAGACCAGGAATTCCAAGATCAGGGTAGCACTAGAGAGATCTTGAGGTAAACATTTGAAATTTGAATTGGGCATGGGACATTACGTAGCCAGATGCTCACACATTTCTGTCTTCCCAGTCTATAGTTGGATTGTTCTCCCTTGAGAAAGATTCAAGTCTCACACTCATCTCTTCAGTAAGAGTTTCACGTGTAGAAACATTCATCTATGATATAGTAAATTATGAAGCTCCTTCAGATCCTTTACATTATATAGAATTTGCACCTGCGATTTTTTTTCTCAGAATGTAGAAGATCTATCAACCTGTCTTCTCAATTACAGAGTAGTGGAGATTTGCCAGTGTGTTTCCTGGGCTACCCCCCTCTCCTCCTCCCTGTCCTGTTCTTCTTTCTAACAGTACTTCTCCATTATCCATGGTTAAATTTTTATCAAGATTCTTCTTCCTTCCTTGCACATTTGTTTTCTTAAAAATTCTTTCTTGCTATTTTTTATATTATTATTACAACATCTCTCCCTTCCCTTTCCTTCCTCCAAACCCTCTGATGTACCTGTCTTCACTTTCTTTTAGATGCATGGTCTCATTCTCCACTAATTGTTATTAAATACATATACATTCCTAAATTTAACCTGCTCAGTCTGTACAATGTGAATTGTGTGTGTTTTCAGGGCTGCCCATTTGGCACTGGACAAACAATTGGTGTGCTCTTCCCTGGAGAAGGCCACCTCCCCTGTTCCCAGCTTTCCGGGGTGCCCTCTAGCTCCTTGCGCAGGGGTGAGGCCTTATGGGCTTTCCCCTGTACATGTTGGCATGTCCATTGGTGTCATCCTAGCTTGGCTCATGTTTGGGAAGTCATGTCAGTGAGACTTCATGTGTGTAGCTTCAGACATTACCAGGAGACACCTTTTCCACTAATTGTTATTATCAATAATTGTCTTTAGCTATGATAATTTCAGTTTGTAGGAGTTCTTTCTGGGTATTCTCATGAACCACATTATACTCTTACAAGAGGCAATGAAATGCAATGGTTAAGAAATCAGGCTTTAGCCAGGTGGTGGTGACACACACCTTTAATTCCAGCACTTGGGAGGCAGAGCCAGGCGGATCTCTGTGAGTTCGAGGCCAGCCTGGTATACAGAGTGAGATCCAGGACAAGCACCAAAACTACATGGAGAAACCCTGTCATGAAAAAAAAAAAAAAGAAAAAAGAAAAGAAAAGAAATCAGGCTTTAATCAAGCTGTGAAGTACAAATTCTCACTCTCCATTTACTTGGGTGACCTTGGCAATCTTTTCTATAAAATGGGCATGACAGTAATATTTACATGCATTTGTGTTGTTATAAATAGTAAATAAAACACTCATAACATTACAAGCCAAGTACCTAACATAAATTTGACACTATGTAATAACTACAGAAATAGGTAGGAATGTTCTCTTATGTTTAATCTTCAATACTTTCTGTATTCATTTCTTGCGGATTTTTTTCTTTTTTATGTTGATTTCCAGGTTTCATCTTCAAGGCTCGCACAAAATGTCTATTTGTTGATGACTGTTGATACATGACTAAACCAAAACATGGAAAAGCCAACAGGAAGCTCTATGAAAATGGTATGTGGTAGACAGTGTCAATTTTGACCCTGACAGAATCTAGAAACATCTGGGAGAAGGACTTCTGGTCATGCTTGTGGAGGAGTATCTTGATTATGGTAAATGGTTGGTGAAGATTCATTTCAATTGTGGGTTCAACCATTCCCTGGCAAGGGAGCTTGGATGGCTTGCTTGGTAACAGCAAACTGAGTACAAGTTTGCATTCACTGATCTCTTCTTCTGGCTGGGTATGATGTGACCAGCTGAGTCTAACTCCTGCAGCCTTGACTTTACCACAGTGATGGGCTGTAGAACTGTGAGCTAAAATAAACCCATGCTTCTTGAAGTTGCTTCATTCCGAATGTTTTACCATAGCAACAAAAAGTAACAAGACAGCATGCTTGCCATGTGATTAGGCAGCAAATCTAGGCAGCTAGAAGAAAAAGGTTGTCCATTTCTTGGATTATTTGTTTGCAGGCTCTGCAGAAACTAGTCACCCTGCTGGGGCTGTAAGAGGGAAGAGAATCTGCCTTGGCATTCACAAATGCCAAGACTCTCAGGGCCTCTGAGATCCATGCTGACTCATTCATTGCTTTGCAACATCCTTATTCTAGTTTTGATTCCATCACTGTGGTAAAACACCTTTATAAGAGCAATAGAGCCGGGCGGTGGTGGCGCACGCCTTTAATCCCAGCACTCGGGAGGCAGAGCCAGGCGGATCTCCGTGAGTTCGAGGCCAGCCTGGGCTACCAAGTGAGCTCCAGGAAAGGCGCAAAGCTACGCAGAGAAACCCTGTCTCGAAAAACCAAAAAAAAAAAAAAAAAAAAAGAGCAATAGAATTTGTGGATGTGGAGAAGGCTCAGTAGCTAAGAGCTCTTTCTGCTTTTTCTGAGGACCTGAGTTAGGTTCCCAGTACCCATGTCTGTAACTCCATCCCTAGAGGGTCCAGAATATTCTGAATTCTAGAGATACTAGGACATGCATGGCATACACTCACATAGACATATATGCATGTAAATAAATAAAAGAGATATTTTTTAAAGTAAATGTGAGGAGAAAGGAGTTTACCTGGCTTTCAATTCCAGGTGATAATCTGTCACTGAGAGGCAGGCATTCACATCACATCCAGAGTCAAGAGTAGAAAGAATCAATGCTTCCTTTTTGCTATTTACTACACAGCTGATGTCCTACTCTGACATAGTCTAGAGCTCTGCTCATGAAAGGGTGCTTCCCACAATGGGATGGGTCTTTTTACATTTCATTACCAACACAGTCCCTCACAGACATGCCCATGGGCCAACATAATGTAGGCAATTTCTCATTGAGATTCCCTTTTGAAGTGATTCTAGGTTGTATCATGTTGATAGCTAAAACTAACCACTCCAAGCTTCTAGCAGCAGAGTCTGCACCTGACACTTTATCTGGACCTTTATTCACCTCCCATCGTCCGGAATATCAAATGAATTCACTCTCCCTGTCTTCTCCAAATTGCTTCATCTCCTTGGGATTGCAAGTTTTTGATAAACAATATAATATTGATACATTATTGAATTCATCATATTTGCAGCAGGAAAGGTTCAACTGGTCCATGGTCTCAGAGGTTTCTGTCTATATTTGGTTCTGTTTGCTTTGTGCCTCTGATGACCCAGTACATCATGTAAGGGCATACTTCATAATAGGCTTATTCACTTCAAGGCAGGCAAGAAGCAAAAAGAGAAAGGAAAACACACAATCCTAATCTTCCTTTCAAGAATACACACCCAGTGAGCTCTCTTCCTTCTAGTAGGCCTCATCTTCTCAAAGGTTTCACCACCTACCAACACCACCACAGACTGGGACCAAAGTGTCAACCTATGAGCCTCTACATGACATTTAAGACCGACTATCAGTAAACAGAAACTCATTGTGGCAAGTCTGTGGCATCACACACGTGTTATTTGTCACAGGCATCTTTATTCTGCCTTTTGAAACACTATATTATTTGCTAAGCTCCTAATTGTAGGAAATATGTAGCTAATAACAGAAGACGATTCCTATCATTACCACTTCTAACCTGTAATGTCCAAAACTGACATAATGATAATGCAACAGGTATGACTCAGTAGAAAAGGACAGGACTCAGGGTGAAGCTCTTCCCTAGAAAGCCATTTTACTCCACATGTCCATATGCTTCTCATTACACTGAAAACAACAACCTCTGGAATGTTCTGCCTCTTCTTTCTCAAGATACCTGACAACTCATGTTTTTAATCACCAAAAAATTGAAAATAACTTTGAAGATAATATAATTCAGTATCTTCAGAATCATAGCTCATCAGTCTGAAAGCAGCTCCTGATCCTAGCACAAGAGTGATAGGGGAAACTTAAGTACTTCTTGAAGAAAACACCCCCTTTCTAAGTCAATCGTACTGTGAAGGTACTGTACCTGACAGGTGCTATTTAAATCTCCTGCTAAGTTCGACTTTGTTCCTCAGAATCTCAAGAGGAAGGTAGGTTACGCTGATCAATAGAGTGTGATTTCCTGTCTACCTTCCGAAGGAGAAAAAAAAATGTAATTAATAAAATATTGCTGAAGAGATATATCTGTACTTCCTTTCCTTAGAAAAGCAATTCTTAAATGGGAAGATAAAGATCATTTTTATCTTCTTTCTGTCTTTGTTCAGCAGAGATTTATGAGAATTTCATGAATGCTCAGAATATTTTTTCAGACCTTAAAACTTGAGAGTATACTATAGTTGTAAAACTATAGATGATAATTATATAAGCCATTTATGAAAAAGATCCCTAACATCATTATGCCCCCCTCTTACTACAGTACAATTATATGGTGAAATTTTTGTGTGTTGGTACAATAACAAAAGAAAAATAGATTTGTGAATGTTTTTACTGTAAAACAATTCACCACAGCAAAACCAAATTTTTATCATGTCTTAGGGATGAACAAGCTTCAATTTAATTGGAATTCCACTTTTACCTTTCATCATGAAGGGTAACCCAAGATGTCTTTAAGAGAATGAGTAGATTATATATACATTTCCCTTCCCTAACACACACAAAATGCAGATTCCACATAAAGTGTAAAGCCACAGTGAAACTTGGCCACTCAGAAACTCCAGAGTTCCTTTCATTTATACAAAGGCACATTCAAATAATCATTTACAGGATTTTATTACTACATAATGTACAACTCAATTATGTTTCTTTTTCATAAGAAAACTTTCCCCTAAAAGCTATATCTGTGAGAAAGGAGAGTTTGATTTTCATATCAACTGAGTAGTCTGACCAATCAAACAGCCAAGTTAACGTTTGTGCCCAGCAGCCTAAAACAAATGATTGATTAAAAAACAAAACCATGTTGGAGAAGAATCAGACTCCCTGTTCTATTTTTTTTTTTTTTTTTTTTGGTTTTTTTTCGAGACAGGGTTTCTCTGTGTAGCTTTTTGCGCCTTTCCTGGAGCTCACTTGGTAGCCCAGGCTGGCCTCGAACTCACAGAGATCCGCCTGGCTCTGCCTCCCGAGTGCTGGGATTAAAGGCGTGCGCCACCACGCCCGGCTCCCTGTTCTATTTTATAGGGCAGAGAATTCTGACCACCTATAGTGCCCTTACAGTGAGCTATGTACTTAGACAATTAGTCCTCTGTGGAGAAAGCTTGGCTAGGAGTACTGCTTCTCTTGTGTACCCATCCACGGAGGTCTCCTGAGGTGACAATTGTGATGGGATTTTGCAGAACTAATGCAGCTTTGAGTTTAGACATGTTGTGTGAACTTGGAACAGATGTATGCTCTCTGGATCTAACTCTTCTTATTAGTAAAGTGGCAAGCTATTTCCTTGTGAGTTTGATGTTGGGATTAAATCACATAATGTACACAACATTTCTAGTGTAGAGAATGCTTTAGTAAGTTTGGACTTCATCCTCTGCAGCAGTACAAATCGTGACATGCCTAGTACATGGGCCCCACTCTCCTTCCAGGATGTGGTCACCATGTCACACAATTTCCTGGTAATACGTCCCACCTGACTTCCAAAGCCAGAGCGTGTGTCTTTGCTGCTGACCTGATATTCTCATACTGTCACATGCTGACATGATATTTGACTATGCTGTTTATTCCCAGCCAGGGGAAATTTCTTCGAGGGAAGTCAGTTCTGCTTTCGCTTACAGCTCACGTTAACCTTTAATTGGGAGTTTACAATTGAATTTAGACTCCACAGCCATTCCTCAGACTTAGCCTGAGTCACGCCTCAGTACTGTCCTCCTTTCCCTGAAATGACCATGTAGATTGGACACGGCTGGCTCCTTGTTATCAGTAAGATGCTATTCTGTTTGTCGTCTCCATATAGGACCTTCTTAAGGCACATACCTGTAGATGCTCCATGGTTCTTGTTTTATTAGTTACTTTGAATATCTAGAGGGCAAAATATAGGCCTACTGTTTGCCCTGTCATTCAGCCTGGGGCAGATGCTGGTTCAGGAAGTGTTCATTGAATGAGTTTATAAACTCTTCTCCATCTTCTTAGCCTGACAAGCATCATGATCAAAACCTCAGCATCCGTAGCCCCCCAGAGTGAATAGGATCTGGCAGCCAGAATCAACACTGAATTCGGTGATATAAAGATACTGAAAAATTGTTGAAACACAGACCAGGAACCATTTGAAAAACTACTTTCTGGTTTATGGAGAAATCCATAATATATATTCATATACCTTCCTAATGATGATAATGATCTATTATTGATTTATATAGCATTCTCTCCCAGGGCTTCTACATCTTTTTACATATATTATTTTACCTTAACAGCCTTCCTGTGAAGTACTTATCCTGATTTTATGCATATGGGGCCCTGACAACTTGAATTTCCCTTTCTTTGAGTCAGCTCCTGATTCCAGAACTCCTGATTGTGAGCCATGAGATCCCCCATAAAGTATTCACAGAAGTGAAATTGCTTCTCCAGTGATGGAAATTACAGGTCTCATCTCTAGTAGAAAATGTCACTAAAATCTCTATTGAATCTTCAGACTCTCT